AATATGTTTATAAATATCGTAGAGCTCCCAAGTGCGATATTCATCGAACGTATCCCCGACATGCGTCAATTGCACCTTGAAACACGTACTAAAGAGCGTATGGCTAAATTTGTCGTGGCTATCAAGAAATTTCATAGTCAACTCCTGGAGAAAGGGTGGTACTTCTGGATTTTGATCGGGCCAGGACATACGACAAAAACACTATAACTGCTGAGCAACAAGAATGGCTGCAGGAGGATGTGCAGATTGTGGAGGACCTTTGCACATCCTCTTGTAGGTGTCTCTGTGGCCTGGGAAATGTTCACCATAGATATACCTGACTCGCTTATGATTTCTAGGAAAATGGATGTTGCTTGATGGGCGCCTGAACCATTCCTACGCTTTTGCACCTAAACCCGGTAAAAATCCAAATCAACCTCAGGCTTCGTCAAAAGAGAAAGGATTTCCTCTTGGCCGGCCCGCCCAGGATAGTTGGGTTTACTACGGAGTACACATAAGCATGAATAGAGGACTCACGCTGAACAGGAAGGTATTTCAAATTTCCTACATAGTCCCCGATCTTCAAGCGGTTGGATAAAGGAATGCCGGCTGACGAAACAACCGAAGCACCTCCCAATGTTTAGGGCTAGGCTCCGCTTTACAGTCTAACCCCAGCGAAAGTGGGCAGATCAGTTAACAGTATAGTTGGAATCGTTTACATGGGATTGCCAGAGATGATGCAAAGGTGGCAAATATTTTTTAATTGATGTGACTTGTGACTTAGTTTAGGAGGCTGGAAGTAGAAAAAGGTTTTCATTAGCGATCTATCCGTAGTTAAGTGTAGAATTTAAATTCTACGAACTAAGGCGAGCTGCCAGCATTTGCATATGTTCTGTTCAGCAAGGATCTTTGAAAGGGCCCAAAAAAAGCCCCATTGGATTTAGAAATTGACGTATTGAGAAAGAACTGAGGATTTCAATACCTTCTGCCAAGAGTTCGTGAAGGAAGAAGGTATTTTCAAGCAAACTTGGAAAAACTACGTTAGGGGAAGTAAGAAAAAAGTAAAACTGGGGCGAGCCGGGATTGAACCGGCGACCTTACGATTTAAGAATTGGCCAAAGTTCAACTTCAGTCGTACGCTACTCCCAACTGAGCTATCACCCCATCGGATGGCAAATGGACGGAACTTTTGATTGCTTGTGCATGAAGTTTGGGGCGGAGTAAATTAACTTCAACCTGCACAGCACCCCTTCCCATGTTTCTCATTGCCAATTTCGCCCTCTTCGCTCTCTTCGCCCTCTTCGCTCTCTTCGCCCTCTTCGCTCTCTTCGCCCTCTTCGCCCTCTTCGCCCTCTTCGCCCTCTTCGCCCTCTTCGCCCTCTTCGCCCTCTTCCAATAGTATTGCGATACTTCTTGTCTTTCAATATCTGTCTTGATTCTCTCATTGTCGGCCTCTCAACGTGGTTATGACAGTCAAGGGCTGAATTGTGTCCTGTTGCTCAGATAGCACAATCATTGACGCGCGCAGCAAATAGAAAGATGAATTCCCCACTCAATATCAGACGGCCACGCCAGGGGCGATGATGACCTTTGGCCGGAGCCGGGCATTGTCGAGAGAAAAGAAGAGAGAGACAATATCACTCATCATACGAGTTCGAAATAGAACTAGTGAGGTAACGATTTTTGGTAATAACTACTTACCATCATAGAATGATTTCCCATTTAGTGCCATTCTAGAAATGGGATCAGAACAGGACCAGGACTAGATATCTTTATACAAAACATGATCTGAGACACAATCTTTACTATAAATAGTGCAATGGAACTAGAACTAGTGTTATAAGAAGTGTACAATAACTAGTATAATCAAACAATACATGGGACCAGGACTGAGATATTTGAGAATGGAATCAGTTGAAAATTTGGTCATGGTCCCCATGCACGGCCACACAGCCAGTCGAAATACAACGACATCAGCCGGGGACATAGATATGGGGAAAATGAAAATGAAGATCTCAAAAACGTAGTTCTTCATCCACATTCCAGCCATAATGATCTGCTAGAATTTCCGGTTGACACTCAGTTGGCAAAGAATAGAGGACATAACCTAAAATTCATTGTTAACCCGGCTCATTGAAAAATTTGTATTGGATATCAAACTACCATGCTGTTCCTCTTAATTCCCCCTCCACGGCACAATTCACGTAACTAATTCTGCCTTTGAGAAAAGGTGTTCAGCTGGTCCGCGACTGACTTGGCCACCACTGAGTTTCTCGACACGCTCCGGCATATGTGCCGTAGAATCATACTGCCCGCGCCAAACAATTTTGATCAGAGTCAAGGCCACCGTGACCAGTATGGAGCTGGGACAAAATACGGTTATTGTGATTATCGATGGATATTTTCGACTCGACTCACATCTCTAATTTGTAGACCATTGAACCCCATGGCAAATCTATTTGTTGCATCTTCCATTAAGAAGGACTGGCAGAGACGGATTATGGCGTCCAAATGGGCGGATTTCGCCAAAGTCACCAAAAACAGCATGACCATTTGAATCGAAGAGTACTTTATCCTCTCACATATATCTGAATGGGAGAAGTCAAGGCTGTGGAGGTGGAGAAGAGCTCACAGAAGGTCCTAATAGCAAAGAACTCAATCTGACTGAGAGGACTGCATAACTTCGGACAATGACTGGTATTTGCAGAGATGAATGCATTCAGGGTAATTCATATCAATAACCTCTATGATATTTGGATGAGGATGCTCTACAAGCAGGAGCAACACCATCCTCTCATCATTCAAAAGGCAAGAGTGAAATATGGTTTCCGAGGCATAATCCCACAAGATGCGTGGAATGGCATCACTAGAAGGAGGCTCATATATCCTGCACACCTTCAAAACAATGTGATCATCAACATTGTAGACTTCTCCCACTGTCCCGACACCAATAATGTCAGGGCTCATTTGATACTGAACTGCTATGGTAAAATCAGCGCAGTTCAGGGATTTGTTTACAGGAGGATACTCCTCAGTGGTCGCAGCATTTCACTCACTGTCTGATGGGGGAGGTTTTGAAAGCTGGAAAATTGACAGAGGGTCTCCTGAACATGAGAAATAGGAGACCATATCATTGGACAATATCAAAAAACAAAAGACAACATTTTAATTTTGCTTCAGTTAACACAGGTCGATGAAGAAGGTAAGTTGATACAAATGGTCTTTGCGGCTTGCCAGGTACAGGAGAATTCAGTAACTTAAAGCCTGGAGGTGAAAATATTACAGAGTGCACCCTTGAAATAAGAAAATAAATAAATAAAAGGGCAGAGATTGAATGCACTGAATTTTCTGATGGAAAAGTTTGTGCAGAATTCATAGGGTTGGATTTAATAATGTTCTTGATACTTGACTCAAAAAAAGAGGAAACTGGGGCGAGCCGGGATTGAACCGGCGACCTTACGATTTAAGAATTGACCAAAGTTCACTTCAGTCGTACGCTACTCCCAACTGAGCTATCACCCCTGATTTGCATGTTGACCGATGTACCATCCGTACCACAAACCCATATGGAGACTCGGAGACTCAAGACAGGCTTCAGCCCATATGGCGATCTCACATTCTTTGCATTCTACTTGAGCCTCCACCCCAATTAACTACCTAGGTGCATTGCTTGCCCTTCTCCATGGAATCGCCATGAACTTGCCTCATGGGTATTGTCTCAATAATTTGGGCTGGGCATAGCCATAGATTAGGCGATCTATCCTTGTACTTCCTTGAACGTCCATGCTGGATATATATCAAGTTCTTCTCTTCGTACTCAATACATAGATGATCGTGAGACTCATCATGTAGAGGCTTCAGATATATAACTCCAGCTTTCCTGAGTCATCATCTCCATGGGTGTGGGGCTACGAATATATACAACACCTCCCCACACCCCCCGGACCTTTTTCCCATTTCATGTACGCATTATTGTCCGAAGGAATCACCTTGTTTCGAATCCTTCGTGTACATATGACCCTTCCTGGTTCAAAATACATGTACAGCACATGAAACCAGGATATATAAACTTGTCTTGGCCACGACGCCGACGTCATTGCGGAGTCCCAACCTTTGAGCATTATAGATGTAGACCTCCCCCATAAAACTCGGTTATATCGATGTTGTCCATGTCGATGTTCTCACGCATCGCGTACCTCCCTGGATGGAGCAGAACCAACCATTACAACCACTCAGGTGTCGAACAAAAATTAAACCATCACGTGGGTGACAGTTAACCGCGATAGACGCAGACGCATCTAGCCAACCCAGCTTCCTATTGTTACATCGATAGAGATCCTCACCACGAACAAGCAAATATGACGGGTCACATCCAGGAAGACCACATCCACGGCTTCCGGCAGGCCCGCCTCCAAACTGCACGGCCAACTTTCATTCGGCACATCCGAGAAACTTTCCAGTCTCCAAGAGCCATGACCCGAAGGCTTTGTCTTCCTCCCGCCAGTTACTCACAAGGAGCCAAGATTCCATCCGGAATCACAGGAAACGGAATCCATGCTTTCCTTGTCGTAGCAGTCCTTTGCCATCGAGTATCGCATTACCCGGCTGATATGCAGGAAACGCCTGTCGGTCTATGCACAGCCAGTCATGGCCTTCTGCCCGCTCGAAAATGAAAGAGTCTTTCAAGCTTTGGATAGCATCCATATCTCCGCTCCAAGTTTTGCCGATGGGGATTGTGGAGGAAAGCCACTCTCCCTCGCTTATTTTTATTTCATTTTTCAATTTCATTTCAATTATTCCGTGAAAGAAGATACAATCAAAAAATTGAAAATATAAAAACCAACGCAAACAAACAACTGAATAACTATTCTCATTGGCTTCTGCAAAAATTTGTTCAGACGACAAGCGGATGTTTGTTGGATAGGGCGAATGGCCATCTGTTTACTCTGACCTTTCTTTCGCAAGGATTTTGTTCTTCGTTGTATTTCCCGTGAGAATATAGCCAAGTATGGGATGCCACCTTTCTTTTTTCTGCTATCATAACAATGGTCCAGTTGGAACCAAGCCCTGCCGTCTACTTTGTTTTTTTATGTTTTATTTTTTATTTTTTATTTTTTTTTGGTTCATCCGCAGCGTTCCGTCATATCCTCTTCCTGCTGACATTATTATTGGCTTCCAACAAACCATATAGCACATGAGCCTCTCCACGATGCTTCACTTGCAGTCAGGAAGGGGAATTATGCAACTGAATGTTGCTCGGACCGCAGAAACCGATCGACCCACACAACGCATTGTCCATTTTCTCATTCTCTCTTCCGCCGGGCCTTTATATATGTTAATAATTGGGTAAAGAAGCGTCAGAAAATCCATACTTGTTGTTTTACAATCTCCCTCCACCCCCTTTTCGTATTTCTTCTTGAAAGAATAGCTCAACCAACCCCCTGCTAGCCATAAATAAAATAAATGATGGCTAGCAGCATAATTGCCCTTCCCATCTCTGCTGTCGACGAGTTGATACAGCTGAAAATGACCTTCGACGCACAACTTCAAGCTACTGACTTTACCTCTGAAACGCCTTCGTACCTGGCCCTCTCCGATAAATGCAAGGCGTACATGATCGCACTACAGAGATACATGTTCCGATCCATAGATCAAAAGGCGACAAAATTGCGAAGATATTACCAGCGGCAGACGGTTCTGCAGGAGGCGGGGAATATTCGTGACTATGCCGCGATCGAGGATGGTTTGGAGGCATTGAAGGTGGAGAATCATCGTATGCTGAAGTTTGTTTGTGAGTAAGGCCCCCTCCCCTTTTCTTTTTCATGCACACACATCCCTCACATATTCACTCCCCTGAACTTTGTTTGAATATAAGTGTGGCAAAATGTCCCGAAAATCATGCCCACTTGAAATCTTGTCGTCTCCTCCATCCGCGTGGTTTTCGAGAATTTTCTCAAAAAATCTGAGAGACAGACTTGGAGAACTCACTATTTGAAATCTTCTCTTCGTTTTGCCTTCTTTCCGGATTTCTAGCAGATGAAACGACGCGAGCTGGACGACTGCTTATGGCTGTGGGGACATCTATTCTCCGGATTGAGGAGAAGGCGGAGAGTCCAGAGGAGATGCAGAAGATGGTTGTGGAGGAAGTTAATGCGTCAGAAGCGGAGGTGTTGATTCTTCGGTAACCCCTTTTCTTCTTTTATTTTTTTTCTCCCATCGATCCTTTACCCTTTCCTCCCCATGCTGAGTGAAAACGATCTCACATGGTTTTTGCATGGAACGCGAGAACTTGATGCTGCTACTGAAGCTTACTGACACATACGTATATATAAATTTATATATACAAAATTAAAGGCAATACAAGGCGGAGCTGGAAAGTAAACAGGCATCTCTGGAGCATGGAAGCATGGGAGCGTTGAATAATTGAGGTTAGCTCTCTGATGCCATTACTTCTTTCTCCACCCAGTCCAATATGAGATTATCAAAACGTAACCTGAAGGTCTTGTTGCAAAGAAAGCCCAAGCGTCCATTTCATGCTCTTAAGTGGATTTTATCTGTTTTTCAATCAGCGAGTCGCTTATGATATCCGCGCTACTTAAACCTTTTATTCGGCTCATGTATGCAGCATACCTCGCTAACATCAAGAAGTTTGCAGCAGGGACCGGGGGCAACTTCTTCGCCCCCTTCTGCCCCACCATCTCATAAAAGAAAAAAACGAATAAGAACGATTCTTTACACTTATTTCTCTGAGTGTTTCCTTCCCTCCATTTAACAAATGTATTTCCTCCACACTTTTATGCTGCTAATCGAGTTATCTTGGCTCACTCAGTATTTCAGTGTCATCCTTTGCTGTAATACACTTGAAAAAAAAAAAAAAAAGCCAGTGAACAAAATAGCTCACATGTACATGTACCTCACAAAGTATGTTAGTTGTATCCCTTTCTTCTCTTCCTCCTTGTTTAGTTATTTGGTTTTCGACGTTTTCGATTTTCTTTTTTCCAGTCCCTTCCCAGTGCTGCGCGAAAGAGTGTCTATATTTTCGTTTTCTATTTCACAGCTGGTCCTAATCACAAAGCTACATTCTTCTAAGAAATTACCGCCCGTTGAGCTCATATATCGCTCATATATCATGACATATACTGCTTCTGATTGTATACTTTCCTGTCTTCTATTTATCATCTTTCCGGTCATCGTTCTCTTGTTTCGAGTATCCATTCTACTCCGCAAGAAGAGACGAATTGGAACGCAACTATATATATCGTTACAGCATCCCTCTACCAGTCGGCGATTCCGCTATCAAATCTCCATGAGTTTTTCCCCTTTTGTTTCCGCTGGTCGAGATGGCCTTTGATCCCCGAATCGCCTTCCAAAGTGCAGCTGGGCGGAGAGAGGGATGTAAACGCCCGCAGGAACTCTTTCGACTTTGTAAATTGTTCATCCCAAGTTAACTACCCTTGTTGTGAGGGTTTGTCATTAAGATACCGACTGATATTCTGTCCTTTTTTCCCCCGCCAGTTTCCAACTGTGTTTGTATGGCCTTTTTATGGAAGCGTGGAAAGCCACTATATATGGGTCCCGAGAATGGAGAAATAGGGCTACATTCACAATTGATGGACATCGCCATGGCCCTCGAGCCGCGAAAGGTCCAGTTGGCGGGAAGAGAGTTTCCCTATTGTCGATCCCACCGGCATACATCTCTAGTGCTCGCTAGAATGCCACGTGAACACACCTATTTAAGCAGTATGGTTAACTACAATGAACTAACCTTCCACCTCCTCAACATCAAAAGTTAATTATCAAGTTTTTTCTTTTTTTTTTTTTCTTTTCTTTTTTTCTTTTTTTTTTTTTTTTTTGAAAAAATATTTGAGAGGATGATTAATGGCTTTGTTTTTGAGGTTGCTGTCATGGTAGTAATATTAGATAAGAACCAAAAGTAACAAAATAGTATTTCCCCTCTTCAGAGTTTCTATCAAGATGTAGAATCTTCTCACATACGCCATTGGCAACTCCCTCTGGAGCCGAATTGTGGTAGAAGCTCCTCCAACTAGGGAGAGTATAGTTATAGGCTGTAGACTCAAGCAGTGCTAGAGGGGAACCTGAGAATTTTAGGTAATAGGAATGTCTATATATGATATTGAGAAATAAAGGATAGCTAGTGACTCTTTTTCCCTTTGCTCTCGGTTTGCGGCATCATTAACTTAGCCGCTAATTTCTATGGGGAGGATGTCGTACTGGCACAGTGCCTATCTTGAATCTGGAACTTCTTAACACAGCCTAGTTTGGCGGGTACACCAAGCCAACTTTGGTTTGGGGGGGGAAATATTCAAACTCGCAGCGTGGCACTACGGCTACCACAGTCATGTATCACCCTGTCTATCGCTTGCCAATCGAATGATTCAAGTGGTTGATGGTTCTTCATGAATGTCTTGTGCCGCATCAGTCGCCGACTCGGCTAAAACACCCCGCTGGCCCAGCCAGGATATTGCCTGCATCACTGTCCGATCCTCTTCCTCCTTCTCACGGCTTACAAGCTATAGATTTTGTCAATAAATGCATTAACATCCCAGAACAGTTTAAGAACAAGAAGTGAGACAAGCGGGGGCATTTAGACATATATAGAAAAATACCGGGGGAGGGGGGACTTACAGTCTGAAACAAGGATTTCCTCCCCTTCTTATCCTGGACAGGAGCAGAGGGCCTCATTGCATTTTTCGTTTTGTCTGAGCCTGATGGAGAATCTACACCTGTTTCCTCGCTGCATAGCCCGTTTAGCAAATGACGACACAGCGTTTTGGGTGTCGGCGGTGGGAAGACCGTCGTGCTCTCGCCGGGGATGTAGCCTTGCTCGAGGTTCCGAGGAAGCTAGTGTCGCCTTTCTTCTTCTGAGGAAATCTGAGCCGCTGGACGATGTTTCATCATCGAGTTCAGAGTCATTATCTGAGAATGATGAAAGGCTGTCGAGCTCATCGGATAGGCCATTCCCAGTGACAGCTGTGGGTGGGGCATTTCCATTCACATGCGGGGTATGTTCCATGGTATTGGGGGTTTCTTGTTGGGTGAGAATCGTTGCAGGTCCAGTAATCGCAGCTTGGACTTCGTCTGTATGGATAATGCTTTCAAGGTGTGAAGTTGGCTGTTCTGGCTGTTCCTGTTGCGGACCCCCAGCGTCTATTTGATCATCTGGCTGGGTATCTTCTATTTCTGTTAGTGCTGGCTTGGAGGTATCACAGCTTGCAGATGAAGGTGCATATTCCGCCGCGGAAGTTGGGGTAACGGGCGGTTTTGCCTCTCCATCAAGCACCCCATTAGTATGTGCCTTAGACGCTTCGGCACGCAGCCTAGCTTTCTCCGCATCTGCTTCCGCCCTAGCTACTCTCTTTTCTTCTTTAATGAGCTTCCGTCGAAGTTTCTCTGCCTTCAGTTTCGCTTTAGCCGCTGCATCTGCAGGGTCGAGTGGCTGTTTCTGTTCTTCCTTCAGAGCTATCTTGTCCGATTTATATTTGTCCTTTTTCATTCTAGCTTCTTTCAGAGGCCTTCCTGCTTCTTCCTGATCCATATTCTTCTGTTGTCTTGTAGCATTCTCTTTGGCCCTCTTCGCCTCTCTGGTCTCCTTCGCAGCCTGTTTCTTCGCTTCAGCTTCCCGCAGACGTTCCTCAACCCTTGCTCTGGTTGGATATCTCTTTTTCCGTTCCTCGATCCAGGTAGCAATATCTGTTGGTGTTTGTAAGGTGGAGGTTTGCCCTTTATAGGTAAATTTAAGCTCGCCAGTGGAAACCGTTTGTGAAAGCTTGGTCTCCTCATCGACGTCATCTTCCTCCTCGCTCGATTCATGCTCCTCTGTTAGTGGGGTGAGACCAAGTTGGGTTGTGAGTTCGTTGTCCTTTAATGTTCTAGTAGCGTCGACGGAGGGCGGGCGGCTTGAAGAAAGCAAGAGTCCAAAAGTTGGGGATGGGGAGAGGGACAGATGGTCTCGTGCTAGACATCTGCGATCCACCAAATGCACTGGAATGTGAGCGTTTACTATTCCGATTGGCGAATTTATCACCACGGTTGAACTGGTTTGTTGAAGAGAACAAAATTATATTCCTGAGGTGGTCGGGATGCATGGCGATCGTGGGGGGGCGGCGGGGGCGGATGGTGATGTTTTGAGTCGGGCTTATCAGGGTAACCAAACTGAGGGGCACGCGAATCTGGAGGTGGGTACGCGCTGCCTTGGACGGCATTTTCGAAACCCCAATGTATGGGAGGTGGCATTATGTGAGGTTGCGGATGGCGATTCGGGGACGGAGAATGCCGGTGCATGGGAGCGGGTGGGTTATATGCAGCTGGATGTGATGCAGGGTGACGGAGGGGATATTGTATCGGCACTGGCTGGCTGTACGTATTTTGTTGAGGCGGTATATGTGGGGAAGGCCGGGTATAAGGTGCTGCCGAGGGGAAATCGGCCCGGCCTTGGGGTGGCGGAGCATAATGTGCGGGAGGTCCTTGAGGGTTATACTGAGGAGGAAGGGGGTTATTCGGAGGTGCATGGGGATGCGGAGCATGAGGATGAGGGTGATATCGGTTGACACTCGCAGGCGTAAAGTTCATATTATGAGAAGGGCCATGACTAGGGCCGTTCATACGGTTTCCTTTCCCACCCCTATGTGCACTTCCTCTTCCACGACCTCGCTGGTGGCCACCAGAGCCTCGTCCCCCTTGGCTCTGACTATATGGAGCAACCAGGGAAACTCGTCAGGCCAGTCTGGGGTAGAGGAGGAGGTGGGGGGGGGAAACGAGAATCCGCCAGAACCCATAGTAGGAACAGGAATAGAAATGAGAAGCTAAATACGGAAATGTAGAGGTAAGGCCTCCATCTTCAGGGGCCCATCATCGTTGAAGATGGCGTCGTCGTCGTTATCATTCTCATGGGAATTCCAACTTTTTTAGCGGTTTCAGGGGCGATACATTGATCCGCTCCGGCAGAGACCGTGCAAAGTCACGTGGACATCAGAAACCTTTTTGAATACAACGAAATGTGCAGGTTGGTGACGAGGGACTGATGTGCTTTTCCACTTTCAATGTTTCTCGATAATACGTAGAATAGGATATGGGATCTATGATATGTATTGTCGCTTAATTGCTTTCGTCTATGTGTTTTCACTACCGAAACCTCCTTTCTCCTGCTTGTGGCATGAAGCGCTGAAGATGCCGAGGATTGCACAGTTAGATTTCTCAATTTGTTACTCGGTGACATTTCGATCTAAATAAAGATTATTAGCATCATGTTTATTCTGGTATGCCGTATGTCCTGGTAGATTTTCTCCTAACTAGGGTTGACCGCCGATTTCTAATGCTGGATGTTTGTAGACAACCCTCTCCGACCTGGTCCAAATTTCCCCCGAAGACTTTTCAAAACTCAGCGCCGTTGCAATCGAGGATAATATTAATGAGAAGTATGCAAATAAGGTATGTCCAAAAAAAAAAAATAAAAATAAAAATAAAAATAAAAATAAAAAAAAGAAGAAGAAGAATAAAAGAAAAAGAAAGAGAAAAAGCCAGCACTTAGAAACTAACTTTGTTTCCCAGGTCATCCAAAATGTTGGCCTCTGCATCGGATTCTACGACTTGCTAGAGTCCTCTGATGGCCTGATTGGACATGGCACCGGCCTTGTCAATGTTAATGGTATGCATGAATGAATGAATACATGCAGCATGAAACGAACTGCCAAATCCATGTTTTCCCTGCAAGCCCTTACTGAGTAACTACATGTTTGGGCCAGTTAAATTCCGATTAATCGTCTTCCGGCCCTTCAAGGGCGAGGTTATCCTGGGGAAAATCACCAGTGGAACCGAGAACGGTATCAAAAGTGCGTCTAAAATACTTTTTACCCAAAAAAAGAGATCGTCGAGACTCGGGACAGACATTCTATCGTTTCAAGATTGCTACGCTAACGACAACGCACCTTCATTTTCGTTCAACACCTTTAGTTAGCGTTGAATTCTTTAACGATATCTTCATACCTCCCAGTCTATTACTTGATGGTGCTAGATTGTAGGTTCAAGCCCCCTCATTCACTCTTATCGTGAGACGAATATTTTTTAACAGCCCATGTCTCCGTTCTCATGTTATAGCGACTTCGCCGACCAAGTCTGGATTTGGGATAACGGTGAGGGTGCAATTTTCTACTTTGATATTGGCGAAACGGTGCGCTTTCGAGTTGAGGCGGAGGAGTGGCATGATCAGGTCCCAGACGCGCCTGATGACCAGGATGGTATGGCAGTGATGGAGAGGAAGCCGCCTTATTCAATCATTGTGGGTTTCTTTCTTTCCTTTTCTTTCCTATTCGAATGTTCGGATTACGCTATCGCAACTTGCGGCTAAACAGAATATTTATGTAGGGATCCATGCAGATTGCGGGTCTGGGGCTAGTTGCATGGGGTCCTAAGGTTCCAAGTCTGGTGTATGACTTATATTACTTTAATAAAAGGGGGATCACTCATCAATAACCGATGCTATCCTCTGAATATGCTATATGATTGA